ACCAATTTGTGAAAACTCTCCATTTATGTGCGTAAAGACGTCTAGTGGAAGGAGCCCTAGCCTCAGAAATAGTGTTCAACACGCGCTGAGGAAGTGCATCTGTTACAGGCAAGCTCCGTCGAGCGGCCAGACATGAAGGCTCCATGACTCTGGATTTGGGTGCCATATCGTTAACTGTGCTTGAGAGAGGAGGGCTCTCTTCAGTGGGATAGTCCACAGGGGGCTACCAGCATCTGCACCAATTCTGGGAACCACGGCTGATTGGGCCATTTCGGTGCCACTAACAGAACAGATTGTCTGTCCTCTCTGATTTTGCAAAGCACGCAAGGCAGAAGTTTCACTGGAGGAAAGACATACTTGCATACTTTCGGCCAGCTGTGAGCTAGTGCATCCACTCCCAGGGGAGAGTGTGTCAGTGAATAAAACAGCGGGCAGTGAATGTTCTCCGCTAATGCGAAGAGATCCACCTCCGCCCTGCCGAATACACTCCAAATCATATTGACTGTCAAAGGGTGTAGTCTCCACTCCCCGTAGATCACCCCGCCCCTCGACAGTAAGTCTGCGCCATAATTCAGGCGCAGGAGAAAGCGCCTGAATTATGTCCGGGAGAAAGCACTCGAGCACTAGGTTACAGCACGGAGCTCCAAACAGTTTATGTGCCACAACTTCTCCTGTTTCTGACCAAGTCCTGAAGGCTGGTCTGTTGTCGCATACGGCTCCCCAGCCCGTGCTCGATGCATCTGTCATAACAGTCTTCTTTCTGATCACTTGGCCAGTAAGAACACCCCGGCGATACAGAGTCATATCGTGCCAAGGGGTCAGCGCATCCCAGCAGTCGCGCGTCACTTTGATGCGCAAGGTACCCACGCGCCATGCGCTCTGTGGCACCCGGCCCTTTAGCCAGAGCTGAAGCGGTCGCATATGTAGGAGCCCTAGTTTGCACACTGTCGAGGCGGCAGCCATCTGGCCGAGCGTCCTCTGAAAGCATTTCAGCGGGGGAGAGTGCCCTAACTTGAAGACTGCGAGAGAGCTGATCAGTTTTTGTGAGCGCTCTTCCGACAGACGCGCTCAGGAAACGCCTGTGGCTACCTGAATGTGAAAATAAGCATCCTTTAAATCCACGGAGATAAACCAATCTCTCGGTCTGATGTATGAGAGGATTTGTCTCAGCATAATCATTTTGAACGAGCGCTTCGAAAGCGCGCGATTCAATGGTCTCAGGTTCAAGTTTGGGCGGAGTCCACCGTCTTTCATTGGTACCAGAAAATAATGACTGTAGAAGCTGCTCTCGCAATCTGCTAGGGGCACTGTCTCTACAGCACGTTTTGCGAGGAGACTGTGTATTTCCTCTCGCAGAACTGAGGCATTCTGCTCCCGTACAGTGGACATTAACACACCGTTGAAACAGGGTTGCCTGCGGAAGAACTGAAGCGTGTAGCCGTTCTTTTTTGATTTCATAACCCACTCTGATACCCCCGGCAGTGCCTGTCACGCTTCTGTGAACTGTGACAGCGGGCGAGGCGAACTGCACACCGTGAGGGATAACTCACCATTGGGGGGCGGGGAGTTTAATACCACACGAATGTAAGAGTGAGTGATGGGGGAGAGGGGAGTTAGAGGAGGAGAATTGCTCTGATATTGAGGTGAGTTTTGTATGTTTTTCGACTTTATTGCACTGCATAGTGGAACAGTCAAAACACAAACATGACAATTGCTCTCACCGCCCCAACAGGCAGGGGGCGTGGTAAACACACACAGCGGAGCGAGCAGACTTCTTCAGTGGCTCGTCTTCGGCGCTGGGTGCAGCTTTCTTCCTCCGAGAGACAGCATCAGGAACACGGCTTTGATTCCGGTGCTGGTGGCCTGCCGCCTCTGTCAGGGTGGGGTCTCTGGCCCTTCGAGCCCTGACGGCGCTTCGGCCACGGCTGTCTTGGTCTCACTGCCGGCTCATGCTCGCGCCGAACAGCAGCAAAAGAGGCGTGCGGTCTTGGCCCGCCGTGGAGAAAGCCTTGCCTTCCTTGGACAGGAAGTGTAGGAGCTCGACATCACTATGATGGAGGTCCCCCACGTCACTGCCGTGGGGCGCAGTGTTATCCAGCGGGCTGTTGGACCACTCCTCTCTTGCTTCTCTTGTCACCTGACCCTGTCAGATCCGCATCAGAAGCACTTTCCTCCTTGGCTCGAAAGAGGCTGCAGAGGAAGAGAGCGGCAGTGCTAGTTGGTCAAGTTCATCGCCTTGGACGATGGCCACACGGAGCCTGAGAGTCCGGAGGCTCATATCTGCACAGTGGGGGCAGACCGACTCCCCAAGCGCCGCCTCCGAGTGGGCGTGACCCAGGCAGAAGACACACGACTCATGGTCATCAGAAGTTTCTATTGGCTTTACGCAGGAGAGGCAATCGCGAGAGGTCATCCTTGTCCAAAGCTCACCGGAACACAGCAGGGGAGAGAAGGCGTGTCCACTGCAGCATGTAGATCACGGTGAGTACTCTTGATGATAGGCTTCTTGCTTCTTGTAGAAGGTTGGCTGAAGGAAAAGATTCTGAATGGATGACGTACAAGCGCTGCCTTATATAGAGTGGAAACCCCTCATATTTCACGCGCTTGTACGCCATTGGCCAGTTTCACTTGCGTGATTCAATAAGGCTTCAGTAGTATTTGGAGGAAAGGGTAATTCCCAAAGCAATGTAAGTGACCGAATCGAAAGGGAACATCAAACCATTAAGGCAGTACAGTTATAAAAACAAAACAACGAATAAAGAAAGAAATTAAGTATACACAGATACAAATCCTTTAAGAAAATTAACCATGGTTTTTATTAAACTATGGTTAATGTAGCAAAAGCATGGTCAATCTGTGTTTACCATAGTTTAACTATAGTAACCATGGTGTTTTTTTGTTTTTTTTTAACTATGGTTAATGTAGCAAAAGCATGGTCAATCTGTGTTTACCATAGTTTAACTATAGTAACCATGGAAAAAGTAATAAATTACTCCTTAAGAGGACACAGGATAAATGCAGAGATGCAGTTTTGACGGTTTTAGGATTCCTCTGCTTCTAGGACTCGGAGATCAAATTTGAATAAAGAAGAGAGAGGTTAAGAGCCAGAGTTTTGTTTATGTATGCCTATATTTTTCTATTCTCTTTTGAGTAGTCAAACAATCCAAAGAAAACATCTTTAAAACTGCAGCTGTAATGTTGTTGGTTTTACATCATCAAAATTGTGTAATTATTATCTGATTAATATACTAAAATAAAAATGCTATCTTTATGAATTATAAGTAAGTTAGCAACCATAGCTTTAAATAAAGTTTTTAGATGTCATTAACTGAGGTCAAAAGCCTATCTTATAAATGCATAAATATCATAAATTTTTAGGGCAGTATAATATAATATAATATAATATAATATAATATAATATAATATAATATAATATAATATAATATAATATAATATAATATAATATAATATAATATAATATAATATAATATAATATAATATAATATAATATAATTTTTGTCTGTATGATAAAAGTCAATGGCAGTATTATTTCATATTATTTTATTTTATTTTATTTTAAAAATAGCAAGACTGCCGAGTTGAAGTTGGGGACATGTGCGTGCTTACGTTACCGACTGCATGACGTCAGACGCACGCATAGTAACCAACATGGCGACGGCGAAGCTTCACGGTAGCGAAGACAGATAGCTGGCAGCTTGGAAAACATCTGTGAAAGATGATAACTGTGAATATAAAATAAAATATATTTATTTATCAAGTGTTGTTAACTTGACTGCATTACCTCAGACGTTCGTATGAACGTTAAACATGATGATTTCCGGTGAAACACGAGTATTTTGAGCATGAGGTTCCTGCGAGAGTTTCTCATCATGGACACTAAACCAGGTAAATGATATTCGCCAAATCAAATATAATAATCTGACCAAACACAGACCATTATAGTCTATTTATAATCATTCATGGCATGTGCATTTAAGAGAGACGCGTTAAATCATGTTCCTTTACAACACTAAACAAAAAGTACCATGGTATTACCGTGGTTTTAAGGCATGGTACCCTTGTGATATCATGTTAATATCAGCATTTTTTAAAGTGTACCATGGTTAAAGCAAAGTAATGCCATCTGAGAGTAAGACCATTTGATTAGTTGTTTTCTGATGGGGATGTTAGTATAGGCGACTATTTATTAATATTGATGTATTCATTGTGTCTGATGGATTACTATGCCCTAGTCTCGTTCCTTTTAGCAGAAAGAACCAGATTTGGGCAGTAAGACTACAAAAGGTTTTCACATATATGCTTATTTCATATTATTTTATTTTATTTTATTTTAAAAATAGCAAGACTGCCGAGTTGAAGTTGGGGACATGTGCGTGCTTACGTTACCGACTGCATGACGTCAGACGCACGCATAGTAACCAACATGGCGACGGCGAAGCTTCACGGTAGCGAAGACAGATAGCTGGAAAGATGATAACTGTGAATATAAAATAAAATATATTTATTTATCAAGTGTTATTAACTTGACTGCATTACCTCAGACGTTCGTATGAACGTTAAACATGATGATTTCCGGTGAAACACGAGTATTTTGAGCATGAGGTTCCTGCGAGAGTTTCTCATCATGGACACTAAACCAGGTAAATGATATTCGCCAAATCAAATATAATAATCTGACCAAACACAGACCATTATAGTCTATTTATAATCATTCATGGCATGTGCATTTAAGAGAGACGCGTTGCTCTAGAAATAAAACTGAACTTGAACTTGATTGTTATAGTCTGTAATGGCTCTAATATTCTTCTTGCAGGTTACTGTCTTGGCTCATCTGGCAAACTGATGAATCAGTACATGATTAAAGACCACATGTTGTCACATTACAGAAAGCTGTATTCAGCCAAAGGTAATTCAGATACGTGCCACCGTTACAAGGATGCTAAGCTTATAGTTTTTTACATCTTTATCATCAAGCCACTGGCTTTTCATTGCATTTTCTTTATGCCTTATTTGTTTGTCTTTTTTATATACTTAACCACTTCTTTTGTTTTCTTTTAGCTGTTGTGGACTGTTCAGTGCCTAAAAGCATGCATAGCAATGTCAAATGTAAGTAAACATACCATTTTACAAGTCCACTTTATGCAAAAATAATTTAGCAATTTAAATTATATTAAATCTCATGTATGAATTTATATAATATCAATTTATATAAGTTTATGTAATAAATACAATTAATTATTGTATATAATATATATAATATAAATGCATTATAAAATATATTTAACCATATCTATTTATATTATATAAATATATACATTATATTTTAATATATATAAAATATAATGTATATATTTATGTGTAAATGTCAAATGTTTACATGTATATAAATGTAATATATCAAATAAAATATATTTAAAAAAATTTTTTAGCCAGATATGCTGTACTAATACTAATTTAAAAAAAAAAAAAAATTTTTTAAATATTTTTTGTAGATGTTGATCAAAAGCGCCGTGAGCAATTAAGGAAAGACACTCTGAGTCAATCAGGAAGATCCACTTCCCAGAGGAGCACTAGGATAAACTCAAGAACTTCCTGTACTTCTAAGAATGTAAGATAACGTTTGGTGCTTCATTACGTCAGATTGCTGTGCAGAAATTGTACTCAGAACTGAAGTTCACTCTTTGTTTCCAGAGCAGACCCTCTGTTCAGGGTGACGACAGTGCCTATCATTACCTGAACCAATCTCTGATGTCCTCACCCAGGATCAGCACCTCATTCCACTCCAAACAAATCGTATATCCGTCCCCTGCGAACCATTTCCCATCCGCCTCAGAGCTGACGTACCGAAGCCCAAACCCTCACTGGCATCCCGCGGGTCCGTCCTGTGCCACGTCCGCCAGTCAGAGAGGATACAGAAGCTTTCAGGATCCCACACAGAAGACCTACAGCGGAGACGTTCTGCTGAAACACGCTCATCGCTTCACTCAGGAGAAACCCTTCACCCCGAGAACGCTCAAATCAGACCACAAGTCCACGCTCTTACAATACCGCTATTACACACCTCCACGGAGGAAAGCTGAGGAGGAGAAATCCTCCTCTAAAGTCATCCGACAGGAGACGTACCACGGGAGGTATATCCAATGATACTGAAAGAGCTATTATATTATGTTTCAAATGGTATTGTGGAGACCTGATAGTATAACGGGGCGTTTTTCTGTTGTCTGCAGCACACGGTCCAAACGAGGCTTTTCTCCACAGCTCGAGTCCCAGGCAAGTCTGAAGGACCTTTGAGGGACATTCTGCAAAATATCATAATGCCATCTATCTATCTATCTATCTATCTATAATCTATCTATCTATCTATCTATCTGACTCCTCTATAATCTATCTATCTATCTATCTATCTATCTGACTCCTCTATAATCTATCTGTCTATCTATCTATCTATCTATCTATCTATCTATCTGACTCCTCTATTATCTATCTATCTATCTATCTATCTATCTATCTATCTATCTATCTGTGCATTTATGTATGCATTTATGGCTGGATTTATGCAATATATTTATGCATTTACCTATTTATTTATATATTGATTTGTTTATTTATGGACTGATTTTTATTGATTGAATGATTGATTGATTGATTAGTTCATTCATTCATTCATTTTTTATTAATTGATCTATGTATTATTTATTTATGGTTTGATTTATGATTTATTTATTTATTTACTTATTTATGCATTGATTTTTTTTTTATACATTGATTTTTTTTTTATTTATGCACTGATTGATGCATTACTTATTTATGCAGTTATTTTTCCTTTGGTTTATGCATTATTTATTTATGCATTCATTTATGCATCATTTATTTATTTATGCATTTGTTTGTTTATTTTTTTTAATGCATGTGCTAAAAGTGGATTAATTGGTTGGTTGCTGGTGGTTGAAGTTGGTTGATGAATGTCCATATTGACCAGAGCTGGAATCTAGACAAAAGAGAAGCTCAAATATCAATACACTGACATCTTGTTTTAATCTTGTTTTAATCTTTTTGCAGCCATTTACTCTCGATCACGAGTGGTCGGATGAAGAAACAGATTCATTTAGACATCACGGCAAGACAAGCAGGTTTAGGGACGGTGATTTTCTTTTCTCGTCTTCCAGGTAAATGATGTCTGCCAGATTTCTGTATATCACACAAATGTCTTATGGTTTTATAATAGTTGTAGAAAGCATGCAGATCCTATAAAATCATCCTATAAAATGATTTTTATAGTGGCATATATAAAAGAAAAGGCTCTTTTCTTTTGTTTCAGGATTTCACCAGAAGGCATGAGGTCTCCCATAATGAGAAAGGTTTCAGCAGAGTGAGTGTCCTGCACCAGACCCCTGAAATATATCATGCATTACACTAATGTGACATTTAAACCACTGATATTCACTTCAAATTCTTGATATACTTTTAGAAATAAAGATGTACTTGACATGATATATGAATATAATCATGCATACAGTCATTTGTATTTTCAGTTTATTCATCTTCATTCATGTGTCATTCTCTGGACCTTCTGAACTTGTTCTTTTCACCAGGGAGGAAGAATTAATGTACCTGGAGTTCATTACAGACGTGACGAATGAGATCTTATCGCAAGGCCTTTACTCTGACAGGTGTGTGAGAACGTTTATTTTGTAGGAAGAGAAATTGCATGACACTTTTTGTTCGTTTGACTTATCTAATGAAGTATCGGTCTGTTCAGGGTACTGAAGAGAGTGTTTGAACGTCACATTGATATGAACAGACATCGATTAGATGAGGTGAGCATTTTGGATTTTACATTTCATTAATCTGATGCTTTTATACAAAGTGATTTAATTGAGGAAAAACACAAACAATTCTTCATTATATTATTTTATTATTGCAATAACATGGGATATTTGTGCTCACACTCAATATTAGATTTGTTAAGTTGTGTAATGTATTTTCATGGACTGGATTTAGCAGTTGTTTTTAAAATACCGTATTTTAGTGTATTTTATTTATTTATTTTTTGTTTTGAAGGAAATGTTTTTTTATTGAGCAAGCGTGCATTAAATTGATCAAAAGTGGCAGTAAAGACATTTATAATGTTACAAAAGATTTCTATTTGAAATAAATGCTGTTCTTTTGAACTTTCTATTCATCTGTGAATCCTGAAAAATAAAATGTATCACCGTTTCCACAAAAATATTGGGCAGCACAATTGTTTTCAACATTGATAATAATCAGAAATGTTTCTTGAGCAGCAAATCAGCATATTATACTGATTTCTGAAGATCATGTGACACTGAAGACTGGAGTAATGATGCTGAAAATACAGCTGCGCATCACAGAAATACATTACATTTTAACAGATATTCACATAGAAAACAGTGATTTGAAATTGTAATAAAATGTCACAATTTTACAATTTTTACTCTATTAATAAATGAATATTTTTGCATTTCATTACATTCATTACATAACATTTCATTATATGGCACTCAGTTCCAAGCATCTTTTTGAACATGTGACTTATCACTCCGTATTCAAACTCCTCGGCATCACTTCATTTCTCGTTCACTCACAGACGTCCATCTCTCTAATATTCCCAACAGAACAAAATGCGGCACCTTCTAGACAATCTGCAGGAGGATCTGCGAAGTCCCCCTGCTGCCGCCGTCACGTCGTACAGTCCTGTCATCTATCAGACGCTGCCATCAGATGATGGTGATGATCTGCTTCATAAAGTGTTTAACGAGGACCGAGGCCAGAGCGAGGACGTCACTCCCGCTGTAGCGTCCACACCTGTGAACCACAGTCGAGCCGGTCTGGAGGACTGTAATGAAGGCAGCGAGATCTCCCTGAATGATGACACACATCTCAATCCCAGGAGCACTGCAGACGATAATGAGGTGTCAGAACAGGTTGATGAACTTGGGAAAATCATGGCGGAGTCTTTAAGTGTGTCAGAACCTCGACAGCAAGTGTTTGAACAGGAGCAGACGAGAGGAGACATCAGCGATGACGAGTTTTGACTCAGTGAAATGTTTGCAAAAGCACACTGATTTTTGCTTTGTCACACTGTAATTGTTTGCAGTTTCTGCAGAATTTCAGATTTCTGCTTCGTTTACTTTTTTAATGTTATTTTACTTTTATACAGAAAAGCCACGTGTGTTCCATGGAGTGATGGTTATACAGTATTTCAGCATGTTATGTGCAGTATTCATTACTTTCCAGAATTTTTCAGCTCTCAATTTGGGCATTCATTGGTTATGTAGTCTGGTTAGGATTCAAAAGACATGCTTGTTTTCAACATTGATAATAATCAGAGATGTTTCTTGAGCATCAAATCAGCATATTAGAATGATTTCTGAAGATCATGTGACACTGAAGACTGCAGTAATGATGCTGAAAATTCAGCGCTGCATCACAGAAATCAATTACATTTTAACAGATATTCACATAGAAAACAGTGATTTGAAATTGTAATAAAATGTCACAATTTTACAATTTTTACTCTATTAATAAATGAATATTTTTGCATTTCATTACATTCATTACATAACATTTCATTATATGGCACTCAGTTCCAAGCATCTTTTTGAACATGTGACTTATCACTCCGTATTCAAACTCCTCGGCATCACTTCATTTCTCGTTCACTCACAGACGTCCATCTCTCTAATATTCCCAACAGAACAAAATGCGGCACCTTCTAGACAATCTGCAGGAGGATCTGCGAAGTCCCCCTGCTGCCGCCGTCACGTCGTACAGTCCTGTCATCTATCAGACGCTGCCATCAGATGATGGTGATGATCTGCTTCATAAAGTGTTTAACGAGGACCGAGGCCAGAGCGAGGACGTCACTCCCGCTGTAGCGTCCACACCTGTGAACCACAGTCGAGCCGGTCTGGAGGACTGTAATGAAGGCAGCGAGATCTCCCTGAATGATGACACACATCTCAATCCCAGGAGCACTGCAGACGATAATGAGGTGTCAGAACAGGTTGATGAACTTGGGAAAATCATGGCGGAGTCTTTAAGTGTGTCAGAACCTCGACAGCAAGTGTTTGAACAGGAGCAGACGAGAGGAGACATCAGCGATGACGAGTTTTGACTCAGTGAAATGTTTGCAAAAGCACACTGATTTTTGCTTTGTCACACTGTAATTGTTTGCAGTTTCTGCAGAATTTCAGATTTCTGCTTCGTTTACTTTTTTAATGTTATTTTACTTTTATACAGAAAAGCCACGTGTGTTCCATGGAGTGATGGTTATACAGTATTTCAGCATGTTATGTGCAGTATTCATTACTTTCCAGAATTTTTCAGCTCTCAATTTGGGCATTCATTGGTTATGTAGTCTGGTTAGGATTCAAAAGACATGCTGTGTCGTATTTTTGAAATACAAAACCGTTTGCCTAGTTTGTGACTTAGTTTTACTACTTTGAATTGGTTTACTTTTACACAACATGTACAAGTGCAGTATTCATATTCAGTGATGCACTTGATATAGTGAAACTTATTTAAACTGGAATTTTGAAATACTCATAATTCATCAAAACCTTGTGTCTGTCTCAAATACAGTCATTTGTTTTAGTTTTGTTTTTTTAAGATTAAATATTGCAGTATTCAGGTAGATTGGTTTAGTGATCAGAAGAAAGCTGTCTGTAAAGGTAACCACGAGTGGCTTAAACTGTTATTTGTACTTTGAACACGTGTTTTTACACTGAACTATACAATTTAATTAACAGTTTTCTTTTAGCAGCTGTTGATTTAATTGTCCACTGAGTGTTTTGCTTTTTAACTACTGAGAAATGAAACACTTCTTACTTTAACTGTGCTATGATATGTATTTTTATATTTTCAAATGACTACTGTTTACTATTTATAATACTGGATAAAGATAATTAAATGCTATTGCAATCACATTTGGTTTGTTTATTGTACACCTTAATTTGTTCTCGATAATGAATCATATCAGCAAAAGTTAACGTGCAATAAACATTAAACTTAAATACTCACTTAAAAGTTTAACAGGTAACCAGGCACAAATATGACAACACTGTGTTTTATTACACACCTGCAAATCCTCAAGAGCTGATAAAGTCTTGCTTATCATGACAAAACACCCTTACAGAAAGCAGAGTTTTACTGTGGTAAATAATGTGCAGTTATTCACATGGCTTTACAGCAGCTGCTCTCATTCCACGCATTCCCCGCGTCTGACGTAATGCGCGGCTTGTATCGAGGCGCAGCACAATTGTTCAATTTATTAATCTTATCTCATTTTTCGATCAGAGATATAACTTTGTTATTCTGGTCCAAAAAAAAAAACAACCTAACATTAATTTCTTTGAGTTGAGTTCTCCATCAAAATCAGCTTGTGACTGTTATGAAACCGAAAAAAACCGTCAAGACTTTGTGGGTGTGAGAGAAAATAGTGCCGCGGATTAATATGTTCCCGGTCACCTTTCCTCTGGTATTCCGAGCGGATGTGACGCAGCAGCAGGAGTGTGACCCGAGGAACCTCAAACATGCGTCAATCCCGAAAAAACAAACTCCACCAAATATCGGATTATTATCACAAACAGTAATTCCTACCTCAAAACCTATTCATGCTATAAATCAAGGATATAATAAATCAGATAATCCAGCAGGTAAGCGGCGGAGAGTTTCTGAAATCATTCTTTTCCAGAGTTTTACTCAAAAGTGTTAGCAGCGCTAGCCAGCGCGCGCTCTTAAACGCGAAATAAAGCTAAAACTCAGTCATCTTAATAAATCTCACCTATTTAGACGTTTAAATATGTTTTTGAAGACTTTGACGTCTTATTTAATGAAGTGTGTAAGTCCCATCTGGATGCGTGCGGTTTTGTGGTCACTTGTTGCTCCAAAAGTTAGTCAGACATTTTTGGTGTTTGTTTATATTTCGTAAAAGCAGAAAAACCAACGGATTTCTAACAACGACAGCGGAATTAAGTGCTTCGATGTACTTTAATATAATAAAATGCTTATTTTTATAGATTTGAGGGCCTTAAGCCTAAATCACGGTTCCTCTGTTATTGTTTTGTTTTTGTTGTTTAAGTTAGTCCTATTTGTTCGATGTCAATAATAGTCATAGTGGATAATTATTATATTCGTAATAAATATGTAATTTCTTAATATCATAATTATAAAAAATATGACTGTATATGTGCATAATGCTCGATATGTATAAAACATGCTGTTAGTCATTTGACATTTGTTTGTTCTCATTATACTATTGTGATTGATTCATAACGGTATGAATTGTTATTGATCTGTATTTTGAGTTTTCCACTGTCTGACAGCTTGTGCATGTGTTGTCTGTGTGAATTTGTTTCATGTCATGCTTCTAAAATAGATTTTAGTAAACGCATTATATCTATAGTAGTTCTCAACTGGTTTTGCTTCAAGAAATAGTTTTGGAATTGGATATTGAGTGATGACCTAAGTTGTTTATCACACAAAAGTAGCAAAAATGTCGCTAAAATCACACATTTATTAATATTATATAAGCCATCCAATTTTATACTCCTTTAAATAGGTATACTGTGCCAATGTAAAGTATTTATTAAAAATATATTTACTTTTTAATTTACATAAAGTGTTTGTTTACTCCATATATTATTGTACTGTTTTTATGAGTATTTATTTATTTTAATCTTAATTGTTATTATTTTAAAACAATTTTATAATTTATTTAAATATATTAATGCATTATTTTTATTTTATTTATTTTAATATATATTTATATTTTTTTATTTATTCTATTTTACATTTTTCTAATGTTTTTTTTTTTCAGTTTGAAAACCCCCTTGTGTGCTTTAGATCACACAAATAATAAGTTTATGTAAATGTAATTTATCGAATATTCTGTGTATTTTTTTTATGGAACAAACACTTCAGTTACTATTGTATTAGTCATACTAAGTGACAGAAATATTTGAGTTTTCACCTCAAAAAAATATGGAAAGCGTTTTTTCCTTCTTTGTAAAATTTGATAACCATCTTTATTTTGCTGTCCAAATTATGCATGATTACATGGTTAATTTGCATAGTTTTTTCTGCTTGTTATCTGTGACCCACCAATTGTGATTTTATCAGAAAGAGTAGATAAATACTGATATGACTCTGAGCGTTTAGGCCGTTTGTATCTGTGAATGTCATCGTTGCTAATCTGTTTTGCTGTGGTTTGTCTTTATCCAGGGACTCATGTGTTTGTCTTGTGGAACCCTGTATAATCCAGCACCCCTCCATGGATTAAGCGCAGAGAAAAGCTGAATCCAATCATTCTGCTCGAGGAGGGTCGCGGCACCGGTGCAACATGCCCCTTCCGTTCGGATTAAAGCTCAAGAGAACCAGAAGATACACGGTGTCCAGCAAAAGCTGCCTGGTGACCCGCATACAGCTGCTCAACGCTGAATATGTGGAGTTCACGCTTTCGGTGGAAAGCACGGGACAGGAATGTCTGGAGGCAGTCGCGCAGAGACTCGAGTTACGGGAGGTAGGATTGCCGTCGTTTTTGGTTTAATCTGGTCGAAATCACAACGCAGTTTGGGCGTGTGTTTATTTTAGCTCACTGGTGCCGTCTGGAGTCTCGGCTTATTCTAGGACTGCTACCAAAATGCTGTCAAACACCCTAAATGCATGTGTGCCAAGAACTCGGCCTGGACTCTGTGTGCTTCATTTGCATGCAGTCAGCTGCTCTTGAGAAGTCTGAGTCAGATTATCGTGTTAGTATGCCATCCATATCTAGTTATAGATTGCCGTGTCTTTTCAGACATGTTGTGTGAGTCTTATTTTCTTGACCAGCCAACTGTGGCTTTTAGTAAAGTGTGTTTAGTAGCCTAAAGGTGACTAGTACAGTGATTTAATCAGCTGTATTAATTGTGCATGCTTACAAAATCCTGATGCTGTTGTTGTTCAAGCAAAATTACAGTATTGGTAATTAAAAAAAGTTTTATAGTAGGGATGTAACGATATCAAAATCTTGCGATACGATATTGTTGCGATATGATGTCCACGGTACGATATTTATTGTGATATTTAAAAAGAAAAAAAGAAATTAAGAATAGGGAAACAACGTAAATTCTGTACATTTTAAAGTTAAATTATTCTATCTAATGCACTTTGAGAGTGAAAATTAAGAGCTCCAACCCGTGTTCTTAACTAAGAAAACTTAAGTCAGAAAAAAGTCAGTGAATTGACTTGTACCTGAACTTTAAAGGGGACTCACTCAACCCTCTTTTTATTTGTGATATATTGTCTCAGTCTAAATTACATTCACACTGGTGTTTTAGGAAGCCAAACAAATTAGAATATAATAATATTAATAACAACAACAATAGTAGCCATATATTGTAAATAGGGTTGTGTCGGTGAGGAAATTTTCCCACCGGTTAATCGACGTGTGACAACACCTAATTTCACTGTAAAATAAATGAAAATGAATATTTCATAGGTATATTATTTTTGCTTTTCACTTACAGTAGGGAAATTACAATACTTCTTTCCTAATTTCTACACTTGAAAGAGATATTTTGAATTTGGACTGCATTTAAACCGCTAGCTGTCAGCAATTCATGCTGCACTTTTAAGCTTATATTTTGATGGAAACGATAGTAGAGCTTTTATTTTGAAAGAAAACTCCAGCTTCAGTGAAAACAGGCTTACAAAAATGCGTCTCACTACAGATCTAGTGAAATGCTGTAATCATCTGCCACGAAAATGAAACCTAACTGGTGGCTGTTGCGTTCCCAAACGTGCGCTAAACTCACAGCACGTGCAACAAACGAGTTCACTGCATTCATTCACTGTGAACGGAGCCGTTCTGAGGCTCGGAAAACACCGGATCACGAGCTGATCGCATGAACAAAGTGTGCGCTTCGCTTTGAAATGTGCAGCAAAAACAGACTTGATGAAGGGATTAAGCCATATTGTGCTTTCGGTTTAAGTTCGTTTAACATGTAATGTGCCAAAGCATAATGGCCCAAAACAAATATATTTAAAAAACTTTTATTTTGTACCTATACCTATTAATACCTATCGTTTCATATCGTCATGTGACCACAATAATATCGACACAGTTTTGATATCGCGATATTGATAATACCGTTACATCCCTATTTTATAGTCGAAAAAGTTGGTAAATATCATCTCCAGTTCAGCATCAGGATTATAGGTTAAATTTATATTAACGCACAAGTTAAAGATGCTGTAAGTAATCACCATTTCGTTTCAGTTTTTCGCCCATTTAATGACAATTTAGCTATTTTTGCAGATTCAGTTATAGTCCAGTTTTTAGAAGTACAAATATTTCATGCATGTAGTCAGTGACTTAATATGAGTCATACACTGATTATATAGTCAATGTATAAAAAGGGGATTTGAAAAATGTTGATTAAAGAAGTTTTAGATGACGCTGACAAGTATTATATCTAGTTTAGCATCAAGATTTTTGGTTAAATTTATATGTATAATATACAGGGTATATTTATGTGCTGTAACTGGTCATCACTAGTTTTAAGTTTTCACCCATTTTAATCATCATTTAGTCTTGCATTTTGGTATGGATTTTTAATGTGCAAATATTTAATGCATGTAGTGTGTGACTTAATGAGTCATAAAAACAGCTTCTATAGTAGTTGTATAAAGGAATTCGAAAAATGTTGATTAAAATAGTTTTATATTAAGTATAGCATTTGAAATGTGAAGTTTTTGTATTTTGCAATTTTTTACTTAGTAGTTGCAAAATTAATTGGAAAAACATTTGTAACCTATAAAGTTGACAAATATTATGTCCATTTTAGCATCAAGAATGTAGGTTAAATATATATGAATGCATAAGGTAAAGTACAAATATTTCATGCATGTAGTTTGACTTGAGTAATAAAAACAGCATGTATAATAATTATATGAAGTAATTTAGAAAAAAATTTTTTTTAAATAGTTTTAGATAAGTGTGTCACACTGTTTGTAGTGTGTGCTAGTAAAGGTAACTAGTAGAGTGATTTAGTCAGCAGGTACTTTTGTGAAATCATAAAGAGGTTTTCACATTTTTGGCTATTTTTTGTAGATCAGTTAGAGTCCTGCTCTCTAATATATATTTTTTTAAAAGTGCAAATATTCTATGCATGCAGTTTAGAGCGTAATATGAATCATACAAACTATTTGTATAATAATTATTTAATGTAATTTGGAAATTTTTTTTTAAATGGTTTAGAAAAACTATTTTATTCTATAAACTTGACACGTATCAAGTCGTCTTTGTTTTTTTATTAGCGTCAATATTTTAGTATAATGTATAAAGTGATGCTGTAGGTGATGATTATTTTTGTTCAGTTTTTTTACACTTGTTTTAATCACCATTTAGCTATTTTTGAAGATCAGTAACCATCCTGCTGTGTGACATGACATTAAATGTCTAAATATTCCATGCATGTAGTATCTCAATTAGTCTGAGCTCATAAAAACAGCAGGTTTTATTATATAAAGAAATTAGGCTATTTTAGGATGTCACACCTCTCAATTTCTTTGGTTTTTAGCTGCAAATCTTTTGCCAAAGAGTCGTCTTAGTCAAAACGTTGAGAATATGCCCAGTAGGGCTGCACGATATATCGAAATTATCGAAATATCGCAATATGCATATCGCAAGGTCGTGCGATATCTGAATCATTTTAATAATAGGCTACTTAAATCAAAATGTTGCAAAAGGTCAAAGTTTTAGTAAGATGCATATAGCAGAGAATTGCTTGACATTAAAAAGAGTTAAGTGCAATAAGTTGCAGAAAACAACTCTTTGGCGTCTCGTCTTGCTGTCTGACTCACACCTGAAGCGCGCACACACAGAGAGACGCGTTTCAGATCGAGTTGATTCGTCTTTCGCATCTCCTCATGTTTGAACAGACACATACACATCGAATCATGTCAATAGTACACGTCTCGACGATCATTCTCGTAAACGCAGTCGGTTATGTTTTAAATGAATTTAAACAGGTGAGAAATACATCGGATGTGTATCATTATACTGGATCCGTGCAGTCGGATTTAAAGGGACAGCAGCCTATAAATACGTGCTGCTGAATAATTTTCATTTTTAAATATTTTAAAATATAATTCAAATTGATTTTACACACTTTAAGCAATATCGTATCGCATATCGAATATCGCATTTTTTAACAAGGTATCACATATCGCATTTTTCTTCAATATCACACAGCCCTAATGCCCGGTCTTCACCTCCAGAAAAACTGATTTGAAGTTAAATGAATGTCTGGTCCCCAGGCCTGTTGTTTCTCACGAGTGAGAGCGCAATCAGTGAAATTCTGTTCATTCCCCAGATAACGTATTTCAGCCTCTGGTACTTCAACAAACAAAACCAGCAGAGATGGATTGATTTGGAGAAGCCGCTGAAGAAACAGCTTGACAAGTATGGGCTGGAGCCAACCGTTTACTTTGGGGTGGTGTTCTACGTGTCGTCTGTTACCCAGTTACAACAAGAGATAACCAGGTTAAGGATGAGAATGTGTTTAAAATGATCACAGCAGTGCTATTAGAACACCTTTACTCACTTCCTGTTTTCCGCACAGATATCAGTATTATCTCCAGCTGAAGAAAGATGTTCTGGAGGGGAAGATCCCGTGCTCCATTGAGCAAGCCATTCATTTGGCCAGCTTGGCTGTGCAAGGTATTTTTTTGGATATTATGTTGGGCATTTCAGGTATATGAACATACTGAGATATTAGGACTGATGCAGGTCTAATACTGCGCTGCCCTCGTTTTCAGATGATGTACTTATCGTTAATCTTTTGTTTTTGTAATATTAATACTCTCTTCAGTTGGTTCCATTCCATTGGACATTAAATGGATAGTTCACCAAAAAATTAAACTCCTGTTATTATTTACTCAGTGAAAACATGCTGTTATTGTGGATACTGTGGTTTAAAGGGTTAGTTCACCCAAAAATGAAAATTCTGTCATTAATTACTCACCCTCGTGTTGTTCCAAACCCCTAAGACCTTCGTTCATCTTCGGAACACAATTTAATTTAAGATACGAAGTTACGAAGCTACGAGAATACTTTTTTTGCTCGTGTCATGATACTGTCGTGAACGCGCGTCCACAAGTGACACAGTAGGTCTGTAACATAGTTTGGTTAAAATTTCTCAATGGTAGTGTAAAACAACACTACCCTGTCAAAATCAGCTCTGTTTACAGCAACCCGTTTCCTTGCATGTCACTTTAAATGCTAATGAGCTCTGCTGACCCCGCCCCTCTCTTCCGAGCCGCTCTCTGAGAGACTGTAAACTTTAGCCGCATTCATCGTGAAACTTGCTAACTAGCACATTATTACTCACTTCTTCTGGAGGTGAAGCTGGATCACAAATGATTTGCGCAAACAGACCCATTTAGGTAGATCTGGGGGCGCATTCCCTTCAAAAACAAAGGTAATCCACTGCATATTCAGCAGCTCAGATGTCGGGAGTAAATGACGATTGCCATGTTCATTATTACATCCAACAACAGAACACCTCAATCGCTTAGGAGACATTCTTGTCTACATCTGCTCCGGCGTCGAAGCAATGGTGGACTGATGACAGCTCACTCAGGGCGGGTCTGTGATAAAACCAAAGACTGACGCCACTGTCAATCAAGAATCGTGGGAGGGGCCTGTGCAGAACTACATCATTCTGCCAAGAATCTGTGAACGGCTTGATATGAGAAAGGGGTTTGGATTTATAGAGATAAAAAAAAAAAAAAAACACTGGGTGGATATTTATCATTATAGGGTGGTTGTGTACACATACTGCCAAGACACATTTTAAAATGTAAAATGTAAAAGTGAATTTTGCATCCGATGACCCCTTTAAAAAGGGAAAAAAAATACTAAAATGTGCTGGATTGAAAATATTAATTTCTTGATTTTTTTCTTAATTCAATAAACAGATATTGATTTTTAAAAACCAAAAATCTATCTTTTAGTTTATGCTAAATTGCAATCAGTTTTTCATCTATGGAAAAACATCAATAAAAAAGCTTAAACAATAAAGTAAAAAAACGTATGTATTATGTTACGTTTACTTCAGAAAAGCCATTCAGTTCCCATAAACTCGTTAGTCAATTAGAAAAAATAACTGTAGAGAGGAGCATTTTGCTAAATATGTGCTATGTTATATATTATATTTCTTTTACTTTTTAACCTGTTCTTTAATATCTACTGTATGTATGTTTGTTTGAATAAATCCGCCATGAAAACTAATTTTTTTTATGACAGTCACTGTTTAAATGTCTATAAAAACTTATTATTTAAATAATTTAAATAATATTGTATATAATGTAAATTAAGTATTGTGTATAAATCAGTTGTTAATTTTTTACGTTCAATATTTTATGTTTGAATAAATTAAAGTGTTTTTATGCTAGCCACTGTTTAAATATTTATTTAAAAAAATGAAAAAATGTGTACACAAATCACTTTAATATTATTGTAATCTACCAACTGACGAATCAAATGAAACAATTTATTATGAATCGATACTGACTGAATCATTATTGAATAAAGTAGAATTGAATTACAAGCTTGTGATTCGAAATTGAATCAAATCATTCAATGACAATTTTCCCCTCCACTCTCAAATCCCTAACATTATGTGGAAGGTGTTTTGAGACGCAGTTATAAGTTGATGTTGCAAGAGAACATTTGCTTTAACATTCTTAAGATAACGTTCAGCCAGTGTCTGGTTCAGATACTCCATCATGAAGGTACGGTTTTGTATTTCTACGGGCTGGAAGTCTAGAAAATCAGAGCATCATTTATCAAGCTGTGCTGCCAGGCTCGAGAATCGCGTACGCTGCTGGCAAAGATATATCTGGCAGCACCAGTTACTGGACTGCTGTTAGCAAAGCAGAGGAACTGACGTCACTCACTGTCGCAACCAGATCAAAAGGCAACAGGCCTTTGTCTCCGCATGGTTTGTGTTGTTTCGATGAGGCTGGACATTCAGCGGGAGTTATTTTTGTGCACCAGCATTGCTGTGTAAGGAGGCTTCACGCGATGGTGATGTTTCGGATTGTCGGCATAGCTGTGAACATTTCTAACGGGCTGATTAGGCATGCTGTTAATTTTGAGCTACTACAGTTACAAAGGCTAAATCGATTCCTTCCATAACAAAAAGTCTCTCAGCTTTTCTAAATTTAGATGTGCGATATCTATAAATGCTGTAGATGATTTTGCAGGAGTGTCATCTCACTTTTTATATTTTAAACCCAACATCAAACTCATAAAATCAATGTAAAAGCAAATAAAATAAATAAAAATAAAAACAAATACAATTATTTGTTAAATAAATAAAAAAAATACGTTTGTAAAATGAAATAAAAATAAGTACATAAATTTTTTTGCAAAATAAAAAATAATTTGTAAAAAATAAATAAATTAGTAAAATAAAAATAATAAATAAAGTAATTTGTTAAATACAATAAAAATAATTATATAATTTAAATTAAAAAAATAAAATTAATAAAATAATTTGCACAATAAAATGCATAAAATATGGATTAGAGATTTGAATGCATCATGTGCATCTTCGGATAATGTGTATATATATATGCATATAGTGCATCTAGTAAAAAATAAAAACACTAAAATATCACCCCATGGGTCTTCTTTTGAGGAATCAATGTCATTGTTTTATTTGTAGGCTTTTTTAATCTCACGCTAAACATAGTTTGTCTGTTGGTTTTTAGCTGACCTTGGAGACTTCAATCGATATGACTCCCAGGAATTCCTTCAAAAAATTGTGCTTTTTCCAATGGTAAGGAATTATTGAACATTTTATTGTCTATTTTAGGTTTAAAGGCTGCAGGATATGTCGTAAGTCTGTTATTTCAACTCTGTTTCTCCGCTTTTCTCAGCCATGGATACAGGACGAGAGGGTTGTGGAAGAGGCCACCCAGAAAGTCTCCATGCTCTATCAGAACTACCGGTGAGAGGCTGTAGTCATTTCTGAAATGTGCTAGTTTTCCCATTTGGAAAAGGCTGAAAGACTGTTAGCCGCTGTTTATGTGAGGTTCATGATTATCAGATGTGTTCAGATGGTTCCTGTTAGAGGATTTCAAAGGCAGCTGTAAAACCCCTGACGTGAATTATGACCAGACTTTCAGCTTTGGATACAAGGCAACAATAAGTGCTCTTGGCTTTCCTGCAAAAGTTCTGTTTTAGAAAGTCTTTCAGATGAGGTTTACATGTGCTCGGCACACGTTAAGGCTGGGATATATATTTTGAAATATTTGCCACATTTTGTTGCTGATATAAAATCCAAATGATCTAAATTGCGATATTTTTATTTGGCCTTTAGGCCTATATTTCTAAAAAAGGCATGTTTTTATATAATGCATTATGAAAGAAGGGCTAATTTCAGCTCTATTTTAAACCTTAGTAACAAAATGCTGTTAGATTTGAATAGTTGATTAAAAAATGTATTGATCAGCGTTTCTGCGGCTCTTTTAAAGTCTTATTTCACTCCTACCACAAATAAAGGTCTTAAATCAGAGTAAAAAAGTATTACATTTTCAGTCATGGCATTAAATGTTGCATGCACTGCAAAAATGAATATTTACTCAGTATGTTTGTCTTTATTTTCCAATACAAGTATCTAAACGGCCTTAAATCAATGTCTTGTTTTCTGAAAAACTGAACAAAATTAAATGAGATTATGCATAAAACAAGAGCAAATGTCTGTCAATGTTATATGAAAACATGTTTTTCCTTTGAATTAAGTTGATTTTCCTTCACATTGGCAGATATTTGTTCTTGTTTTATTCATAAACTCACTTCATTTTGATGAATTTCTCAGAAAGCAAGACTTCATATCTTGTCATTTTTCTCTCAGTGTCTCAGCTTTCTTTGCTTCTCAGTGCTTCAGTTTTCTTTAAGAAACATTTGTACGTTTGTACTGGAAAATAAGACAAAAATTCTGAGGAAGAACATCACTTTTTTGCAGCGTGAACAGAAGGTACATTAAAAGTTATTTCTATATTCTAGTCAAGCTTTTTCTTGTAATGAATTAAACAACAATCTATACTTTACGTAATAGTTCTTCGTATGGCAGGTCATGCAGATGAAACAACTTTTTAGTGTCTTGGAAGAAATATACATACGAATTGCAATGCTCTGACGTTGTTTGTTCGAGTAATGCACGATAAGCATGAGGAAGAATCAGCACAGATGAGTCTGATAATGACATCAGATGACAAGTGCATTGTTGAATGTGACCTTTGTGCTGTAGTGTCTCAAGTCGAAGCTGTGTGTGTGTTTTCTGTTTCCCAGAGGTCTGTCCGCACCGGAGGCGGAGTTACTCTACATGCAGGAGGTGGAGAAGATGGAGGGGTACGGTGGGGAGAGTGTCCAAGCAAAGGTAAAGCAGCAAAGAAAAGCTGTTCTTTGTGTAATTCAAGTTCCTTTTCATGGGTGCAAGCTCATCGTGCAAGAGTGCACACGACTGCTTTGACAGTGTGAAAGTGAGAAATGCATGCACCTAAAATATCTATGCACAGGGATATATTTATGAGTGTTTAGTTTTAAAGAATTCAGTTTACCTTATAATAGATTCCCGTGATGCATTTTGCTTAAGTCATCTTCGTCAGATTTGAATGAAATGTAACATTCCATCACTTGCTCACCAATGGATGCTCTGCAGTGAATGGGTGCCGTCAGAATGAGAGTCCAAACAGCTGATAAAAACATCACAGTAATCCACAAGTAATCCACACCACTCCAGTCCATCAGTTAATGTCTTGAGAAGACAAAAGCTGCGTGTTTGTAGCAACAAATCCAGTAATTTTTCTATTGAAAAAGTCGTCTGGCCTGAATCAGGAGAGAAATATGCACCATTTACCGTCCAAAACAGCTCTTTTGATGTGAGAGACAACAGGGGATGGACTTTTTCTATGGAGGAAGTGTTATTATGGATTATCGACTATTTTGGCCAGAAACAATGGTTTGAAGTTGTTTGGATTCTCATTCTGGTGGCACCCATTCACTGCAGAGGATCCGTTACTGAATTATTAATTATTTTAAGACACTGAGAGCCTTTTAAATGAATAATTATTTCACAATACTTTATTTTAAAATTTTTTCCTTGTGTCTAAACAGGATGCTCAGAGCGCAGATGTGATTATCGGCTCTTGTCTGGACGGGATTTTTGTCAAGCACAAAAATGGGAAAGCAGCTCTCATGTTTCGGTATGTGTGCATTCATCTTTTTGTGTGTTTTTTGCATTCATTCATTAAAGCTGGTGAGATATATAAAATAAATTGACACATTTTTGATGTTTAGCAATCCTAAGTTTTTTTTTGCAGTGATATTCATTTAAAATAAAATAAAAATAAAAATATTATTAAAAATATATAAAATATTATTATCAAATATAAAAAAATGTAAAATTAAAATATTATATAGGTAATATTACTACTAATCACAATGTTTTATATTGCAGCATTTAAATGAATATGATTATTCTTGTTTTAATATAGTGAAACAAAGTGTGCAAAACATGCATTGATGATTGTAAATAGATTTATTTCTGTATTTTACTTATTGAAATTTTGAAATTGGGCAAAAAATCACCCTTCCTCAGAGCAAGAATAATCAATATAGATATTGTCAAAAGACTTGCCCTCGTCTTCAAAAGGCTGTTTATCGTCCAGTGTATCGTGTTTTTAGGTTGTGTTTTGCCGTCATGTGTCTGACTCGAGCTCTTAATTGTTTCTGCAGGTGGAATGACATAAATAATATGACTCATAATAAGTCTTTCTTTGCCCTGGAGCTTGCCAACAAAGAAGACACAATCCAGTTCCAGACCGTAAGTCAAGATGCTTTTCTCTTCCTAAAATAGCCAAAAGACTGAAGTTAACCTAGAGTTATGCTATCACATATGCCTGTGTGTATGTCCATTCATATTCGTGAATAGATTTGTAGCTAGCCTCCAAAGAACACCACTCATTTAGGCCCTGAAACACACGAGTCAATGTTCTGGCCTGATTTGATTCAGTAAAAATGTTCTGGCTCTGTTTCAGGAGGACATGGAGACGTCCAAATATGTATGCAGAATGTGGCTGGCGCGGCACAAGTTTTACAAAATTAACAACAGCAGTCTGTAAGTTTATGTGTCTGTGTTTTCTGTCGTGTGTTTTTGTTAGAACTGCACTCATTTTGGCCAATACAATATGAACAAATCTATAGACTCTTACAGATGCTGGTCATTTGTCTTTTATTTCCCCTAAAAAAATGTTTTAATGTTGTGACTAAACATTCAGTCATTAGTGGATTTGATCTTTTGCTTGGATGTGTAACAGGAATACATTATATGCACAATAAAAAGAAAACTTTTCATAATTTAGCAAATAATTCTAACAAAAGTTTGGGGTCTGTAAGATTATTTAGTGTCTTTCTCTTCTCACCAAGGCTGCATTTATTTGATCAAAAATACAGTAAAAACAATTAAATATTATTACAATTTCAAATAACTATTTTCTATATAAACATATTTTAATATGTAATTTATTTCCGTGATCAAAGCTGCATTTTTAGCATCATTCAGTGTCACATGATGCTTCAGAAATCATTCTAAACATTTCATATCATTGTTAAAAACTGTTATTTTACTTCATACTTTTGTGGAAACGTGTCTTATGAATAGAAAGCTCAAAAGATCAGCATTTATTTTAAATACAATTTGTTTTGCAATATTGTATGTGTTACTTTTGATCAATTTAATGTATCCTTACTGAAAAAAGTACGTAAAAACAAAACAAAATTGCTGATTATGTTAGTTTAATCAGTAATTGGCTGATTAAAATCATTGGCTGCTTCATCAGTGCGTCTGTAGTTTTGTGTGTCCTCCTTCACCGCTATCCATTTACTGTCTCCAGAGAGCTGTCTGACGGCCCAAACTCTGAGGGCTCCCAGAGGTCCATTCTCTCTCTTTCTTTTCCTCGTTTTCCAAACCTCTCTCGTCCCTCTGTTCCTGCTGACAAGGGGTGAGCCTGACTGCACGAGGGCATCAATGCTTTACTGCTCAGAGCTTCTCATGGGCTACAGAGTGACAGAAAACTCCTGATAACTCTTTAAGGAATGGCATGACAACATGCTCGGGTCATATTTTACCGCAAATGTAATATAAAAATAAAACTATTTTCCTAAATAAAATGCAGCCCTTTTTGGATCATTACAAATTTATTTTATTTTATTTTATCAAGATAATTTATAGACAGTAAATCAAATACTACTTTTTAAAAAAAATAAATATTTAACTTTACAATAATTCCCCATTACAGCATCATAGATTAGTTAAATATTGATAATGTGGGTAAAATGCACCCTATTTTCATAATGTCAATGCAACAATGCACATATTTTTTAAAGAAGTCTCTTCTGCTCACCAAGGCTGCATTTATTTGACCAAAATTACAGTAAAAATAGTTATATTGTGAAATATTATTACAATTTAAAATAACTTTTCTTTGTTTATTTTAGGATCATTAAGTATTTTATTTTTAATCCGGACTAAATGTAGTCAGCTGCAAATCAAATGCTATAATCTTTTATAAATATTATTATTTTATATATATATATATATATATATAGAATGTGTCTGTGAGTTGTCATGAAAATTTGAATGCAGTGCAAAATGCAAACCGCTGATTTTGTACTGTAGTATCACAGTGCATGTGACGAATAAAACATTGACCTTTATTACTCTCTGGTTTATTTCACAGTTGTGTTTTATTGTTTTGTGTTTTATTACAGACAAACACAGCCCGCTCCTGTAAACACAGTGAGGCGACGGTCCTCGACGAGAATGTCTCTGGTCAGCATTATACCAGTTATTCAATGACTATACAACAGTTTTGCTATGGAGCTTGTTCTGTAGTACGTTTCTGGAGTTTGTCAGCTCTGCATGATCTCATTTGTTTTTGATGTGATTTACTGTAGCTCTGTTCCAAAACCTTGCTCTCTACATACTAGGCAGCTCCCTTTTAAGGCAGCATCCTAACTAAAATGTAACCTTATAAATGTCATGGTAAGCATAAAAAACATAAAACTAAAAAGCTTTTAATTGGACTTTTAATGCTTTCTATCTTTGAACCAATGCTTGATGTTGTGTGTGCACTTGTATATCTTCAAATACAAAGTCTAGATGGGCAGCTCTCCAGGTTTGGGACAGAGTTAATATGTCTAGCTGAATAATGCTGCTTTTGTTTTGTCTTATGATGCAGCCAAAACCACAACCCTACATGATGCCACCTCAGATGCATTTTAACGGCCATTACACCGAACCGTACACATCTTCACAAGGTAGGACATCTCCCATCAGCAACGGGCCAAAACTGCAAAAAATTATTTTCTTTAGTATTTTGCTTCTAAACATTCTTAAATCAAGATAAAACAAAATGACAGAATTTAGTGAGAAACAAATCTTCCAGTGTGGTTAAAAAAATTTACTTCAGACCTTTTTAGAACTTTACAGAAAAAAAGACTTAATATAATATCTAAACATTCTTAAATCAACATACATTTATTTAAAAAGCAAAATAACTTAAGATATGAAGTCTTCTCAATGTAATGTATCTTGATTTAAGAGTTATTATATATTTGTACTCGAAAACAAGACAAAAATACTAAAAAAAAGTCATTATTTTTAAAAATCAAGATAAGTTACAGACAAATTGTCAATAAACAAAGTCAAATACTATGCAAACTAATTTATCTTGATTTTAAAAAAAAATGTTTAATGAAATTGTGCTGGAAAAGAAGACAAATATTATGAGAAAATCATTCTTGTATTTTATTTTATTTATTATTTTGTAATTAAATTATAATAAATAATAATAATAATAAAAGTTAATTATAATAAAAAAAAGTAAATCAAATACTGCAATCATTTATAAATATTTAAGTTAAAGGGGTGGTTCATTGTGATTTCACTTTTTTAACGTTAGTTAGTGTGTAATGTTGCTGTTTGAGCATAAACAATATCTGCAAAGTTACGAAGCTGAAAGTTCAATGCAAACGGAGATATCGTCTTTTAAAATTCTGGCAGTTTAATGCCTACAAAAACGACTGGTAGGGACTACAACGAGTTACTTCACGGGTTCGTGACCCCATAAACACAATCAAGCCTAGAAAAAAAACTGTGAATCACCCCTTTAAAATATAGACAGTGTGAGAGAAAAAAAAATCAGTTTTTGTGAAAATAACCTATGGAATTTTCTAATTTATCCAGATTTTAAGTTTGTACTGACAAAAATGCTAAGCATTCTTGTATTTTATTTGTTTTATTTTATTTATGTTTTTATTTAAAGGGGTCATATGATGCTTTTTTAAAGATCATTATTTTGTGTTAAGAAATTGTAGTCAGTAAATCAAAAACCTATAAATATTAAACTTTACAATGTTTTTGCATCATAATGATGCTGACTTGCTTCTCAAGTTAATGTATCTTGATTAGGGCTGGGCGATATGGCCAAAAAAATGATCACGATAACTTTTTAAATATCAGTCGATATCGATAATTATCACGGTAAATGTCAAATCTTTATTTCTTTCAAGTTTAAAGCCAGATTTTTGCTCCA